CCACGTACTCTGAGAGCAAAAGTGCAAGAGAGCAATATTGTTAACAATAAAATTTGCTACAACTTTTGTTCTAAAAGTTTCTTTATAACATGCTTCGATTCCCGAATGTTACCTTTAATAGCATAAAAAAGCAAATTCATCAAAATTTCATATTTTTGTACTTTTCTCGATATTGACGCATCTAAGAGCAAAAGTGCAAGAGAGCAATATTGTTAACAATAAAATTTGCTACAACTTTTGTTCTAAAAGTTTCTTTATAATATGCTTCGATTCCCGAGTATTACCTTTAATAGCATAAAAAAGCAAATTTTCATATTTTTGTACTTTTCTCGATATTGACGCATCTAAGAGCAAAAGTGCAAGAGATCAATATTGTTAAGAACAAAATTTGCTACAACTTTTGTTCTAAAAGTTTCTTTATAAAATGCTTCGATTCCCGAATGTTACCTTTAACAGCATAAAAAAGCAAATTCATCAAATTTTCATATTTTTGTGCTTTTCTCGATATTGACGCATCTAAGAGCAAAAGTGCAAGAGAGCAATATTGCTCAGTATAAAATTTGCTACAACTTTTGTTCTAAAAGTTTCTTTATAACATGCTTCGATTCCCGAATGTTACCTTTAACAGCATAAAAAAGCAAATTCATCAAATTTTCATATTTTTGTGCTTTTCTCGATATTGACGCATTTAAGAGCAAAAGTGCAAGAGAGCAATATTGTTAACAATAAAATTTGCTACAACTTTTGTTCTAAAAGTTTCTTTATAATATGCTTCGATTCCCGAATGTTACCTTTAATAGCATAAAAAAGCAAATTCATCAAATTTTCATATTTTTGTGCTTTTCTCGATATTGACGCATCTAAGAGCAAAAGTGCAAGATATCAATATTGTTAACAATAAAATTTGCTACAACTTTTGTTCTAAAAGTTTCTTTATAAAATGCTTCGTTTCCCGAATGTTACCTTTAATAGCATAAAAAAGCAAATTCATCAAAATTTCATATTTTTGTGCTTTTCTCGATATTGACGCATTTAAGAGCAAAA